TATAGTAGGAGTGATCTGTCACTTGTGATGTGTATACTGACTAGGTAGAACATCCCTGTCTCTTAGCCTTACCTCAGAAGGACAACCATTTCAGCAGGTCTTTCTTTTCTCCTTTGGTTATGAGGAGTCTCTCTGTGTTGAGTGAAATACCTTAGCCAAATAGTTAAAGCTGTTTCTAGAAGTGAAGGAATTAATGGGGGTAGTTTATTAACTCCTTGTGTTCGAGGGGTCTCTTTGTGCTGAATAAAATCAGCCGGTCATCGCCAAATAAAATTGTGAAAGCAACAACCAGTAGTGAAGGGGTGAAGAGTGATACTACCCACCAAGACATCCGAGGGCCAGTCTGTACTGTTTTATACCCCACAATGGCACAGCCTTTAATGAGCCACCTGGTTATGGGTTTGGCTAGAAAAAAAGGTCATATGATCAAATCTTAATTTTTCCAATAAGTTGTGCTGGTATATTTTTTTATTTATGCTTTTTTACTCCAGTTTTGTTGCCCAGTGTAATATTTTTATTTATTTATAATGATAGTGGAGGGAAAACTGTAAATTCTTGATGCAGTTTTAAGAAGTTTTACCTTGTCACAGGATTTGGATCTGCAACTGTCAGGTTTCTGCCCACCACCAGGAGTGAGTAAATAATGTGACTAGATGTCATAGCATAACCCTTATAGTTCAAGTGTATTGTAATTCACTGTACAATGTCTTATCCAACCATAAACATTTGATATGCTCTTATAAACTTCCTCTGAGTATCTATCTAGTTTCACAATTTATTATTTTGATCTTTTTATAAACACTTTATATGTATCTCTCACACTTCACAATACAATACAGTACTGTACTGTACTGTACTGTACTGTACTGTAAAAGATATGTTTATCATCTGTAATATATTTTGTGTACAGCACATTTAGGAACAGGTTTGTAGGAGCAGTTTTATACTTCCTTTAGCATCTTATGTAATCAACATACAGTATATGCCATAGAAACAGTTCAGTATTTTTTTAGTATTCTTTCAGATGTTCAGTACACTGTACAGTGATTTCACTGAATGGTTTGACTCCTGTGTAGGCAAAAAGAGTAGTTAGACCACTGCATTAGATACAGGTCACCAGCCTGCATACATTGTGTACACAGTGATAAGGAATTATGAATGATCTTAATGAATCACAGGTGGACACACATCCATAGTTAGCATGCCATTGTCTACTTTCTACACAGTGTAATATATAGTACAATACTGTACATTCTTCAGGGTTATCATAAATGTTTAGTAAGAATGGCCCAATACGGTTTGAAGAGTGAGGATCAGGGGGTCTGTAGCTCATAATGTTTATTAGAAAACATATGGGCCACACTGCAGTACAGTACATGAAGTTTCTGCCTGTATGTTTGGAGACAAAGTAAGGTTGTGTTGAACTAGTCTAGATTTCAGGTGAATGAGTCACCCTGACTAGTAATTGGCTTAAAATGAAAACCCTGATCCATATTTTGTAAGGCACCTATATAAACCGTACTGGATTATACTACATATTGGTAAAAGAACTGAATATTGTACAGTAATACTTAACGACTAACTTCAGTCTTGTGGTTTGATCATGTTACCACATTCATAAGTTTTTTTGTTGGGCAGCTGAGACTGTAGGAAAATGAAGATCAAAGATTGGGAAAGAGGGTTTAGTGAGGGTAACTGTTTGTGAGAAAGTTGTAGACATTAAGTGCTCCTTGTGTGTTGTGTGTACAGGTTACATCTCAAAGGTATGATATACATTATAACAAGAATTATAATACACTGTTGGTACAGTACTATGCATAGTAATGGAACTTTCTTTAATTCCACATATGTTATAATTTACATGTACTGTACTGCATTTTTTTTCTTCTCTAGTTTCAGGACCAAGTACTGGTCCTCACCTCTTAAGTGCCATGGGATCACTCACCAGTCCTGTGCAACACAAGGTGACACCACACATGGTCCCAGGTCACCCGGCTGCACACGACATCCACCACAACCCAGGTATGGAGAGAACATTTACCTGTTATCATAAGAAGGTTTGAATATAACCAAGCACTTTAGTAAGAACTTTTATGGTGTATTTTATGTTTCCAACTACTGTATTACTTACTCTGTTACAGCTGGGGTGTATGAAAAATATTATCTAATATACTATAGGAATAGCCGTGTATGTGTGTGTGTTTGTTCTGGGCAGCCGAAACGGCACAATCGTTTTTCATCAAACTTGGTGGAAAAATCGCAAAAAATTCATAGTGTGGAACAAACCTGGTCCCATGTCGATGGTTTCTTTAGGAAGGCATTAATGAACCATTTTGTTGCTGTACGCTGTCAGCCGGAGGGCGGTTGCTCGCTAGCCAAGCACGAGCGTTCAAACTTTCACCGGGCACAAAGGGCCCACGATCACTTGTTCTTTATATTTAGCTTTATTTAATGCAATTTCTGACTCAAGGCATCATAGCCCTGACTTGTACAGGAGATTTCTGTAGTCTGTTATCTTGAGCCATGCAGCGGGTGCAGTAAGGAGAACTTTGAACTTGTGAAAGCCATTTCTTAACTCGGTAGAAGGAAAAGCTAAGACTTCAATTAAGTCTTCAGGAAGAGAAATGAGTGATTGGTGAGAGAAGTTTGATAATAGTGATGCAATAAAGATTGATCAGGCTAGGTTGGGTTAGGTTAGGTTAGGTTAGATATTTTAGGTAAGGTAAGGTTAGATATACAGTTAACCCTCACTTTACGCGGTTAATGTAACCCGGAGGGTCCCGCGTAAAGTGAGAAACACGTAAAGTGAATAACATAACATATGGGATTAATTGAAATGGAGTCCGGGCCGATCCCCAAACTCCACTTTTTGACGACACACAACTATGTTGTAGTAAAAATATTATCTTAACTTTATGATGGTATGCACACACAATTAATAATTAAGAGAAATATCAATAATATTAGGTTTTTTAACACTTACATTAGTAGAAAAAATGGCTGGGCACACGGGGATGGGCGGTTGGTTCCGAGGCAGAGGGCAGATTATTGGCCCTCACCTGTGTCACTTGTATCAATTGTATCACTATCCACCACAGAGGCTTGCAGGGCCTCTTTGTCAAACTCCCCAAAGTCCATATAAGTCCATATCCTCACCATAATTATCACTATCACTGACTTGGGCCGGCTGTGGTGGGTGGCGGGTGAAGAACTGGTAATGTTTTGATGACTGGGCGACCTTGTGCGCACCATGTTCGCGCAGCTTACACAACATGGCGGATGGCGGGAGGTTTGGATCCAAAAATGGCGCGGCTCGCCAGCCGCTCTCCGCGTAAAGGGGTACACGCACCGCGGAATGTGAGCATCCTGGGTTCCCGCAGGGCACAGCGTAAACGTGGAAACGCGGAATGTGGGACAGCGTAAAGTGAGGGTTAACTGTAATTGGGTTAAGTTAGATCAGGTTAATTTGGATAAGTCTCTTGGGGTGGTATAAAAAGTATTCAAGAGAAATCACAAGTAAGGATAAATAAAGTGATTGTAATTGTTAATTTGTTAGAATAGTGTACCAAAAGACTGTACCTTTCTGGATATATAAAATTGTTAGGAGTGTATGAAAGAAAAAATTGGAATTGGTCTGCTGATGCAAATATAGGATCTAAGAACCTGGATACAGCCATGACAATTACTTCCTCAGTAGGTTACCAGGAGGCACTGATACCTGTCTTTTGGTTTGTGAGGTGGTCAAATAGAGCCCAGGTCACCCAGTTTAGGAAATAAGTACAGTACCCATCACCTGAAACAGTTCTCCCATTAAGGGTTTATAAAAAGTGAGAAAAAATATTACTACTGTACATAGATTACAATTGAGTATGTTAAATAAAAATTGCATGATGTAAACTGGAAGAATATTCATACCAGCACCACATGAAATTAGTTGCCATACATCTCTTGTACTTATTACAACAGTCTATTAGTCAGTCCTATAGCTAAACCTACAGTTGCCAAGAATGAAAGAAATTACACTTAATTTTTGTTTATACCACTACTGTTCTCTTGAATTATTATCAGTACTTGCTGTGATTGCTGTAAGTCTAAGGGTATTTTATTCGCCAATCACTGTTATTAAATGTATCGGTGACATTCACATCATTAGTGTTACCAGCTCTCAACCTAACCTAACTACCTAATGATTGTTATGAAATCATGATATGTGGCTTATGGTGCTGGAAGGTGAGCTGTCTCTGGCAGGGAGAGTACAAGCACCTCTGGTAGTTTCTTGGGTGGGCATGAGTTTTGTCACTGGACGATTCATCACCGGTCTGTGTTATATTTATGAAATTTTAGGTAGTATTGTCATTATTTTGGAGGTGATGAAGCCATGGTTATGTTAGATTTGGTTAGGTTAGGTCTTTACTGAACGGGTGACTAATTGTCTGGTGACGGAATGTCGTAGAACCAGTTTCTTGATTATAATATGAATGTGAATTAAGGGCAATTTGACGGAGTGAGATTTGGGTATCAAAAAAGTACAATATAATCGATAGATAAAAGAGTAGATAAAGATCAATGGATTGTTTTATTCTATGATGGTATGGAAAGGTGGAAAAAGGATTAATGCTGAGAAGAAGAAAAAATTATACAGTACGTATATGTCTTTATGTTTGAGATGAAAGGGGGAGAAAATGAGGGAAAGACAGGCACGTGTGTGTGTGTGTCTGTCTGTCTGTCTGTCTGTTCATGGCCCAGGCTCAGTATCTCTGTTATATTTGGTGATTCACAAACTGCTAAAATGATAGTGTATTATGTGTGATGTCAGTGTGATTTTGCCCTTTATATACTGTGATTGTAGGGATTATATTGTGATTTTTGGAATTTTACTGTGATTGTAGGAATTATACTGTGATTGGAGGGATTATACTGATATTGTGGGGATTATACTGTGATTGTATGGATTATACTGTGATTGTAGGGATTATACTGTGATTTTAGGAATTATACTGATAGTGTAGGAATTAAATTCTATTAAGAAAATAAATTGGAAAAGGTGTAATATTTATGAAGAAAAAAAATTGACTACTGTATTAAAATGATGGAGGAAATGTGTTGTTGGATATATGATGAGGTGGCACTGATGATGGTCATGATTATTTCTCTGTAATGAAAAGAAGTAAAAGAAAATAATGAGCATAGAAAGCGACCAAATGTTAGGTTGTGTGGAGTGACTGACGACATCATTAGAGCTGGGATGTTTTAGAGGTTTTTAAACTGAGTGTGGTTATGCTGTATGCTGGAAACCTTCTTTTGTGGCTTGATGTTCATGGAACTACAAAGTGTTAAATTTTCTAGTACTTTTTTTTAATATAATTTCCACATTTCTTTTATTATTTTGATAATCTTTGAGACATATTCAAGGTATAAGATTTCAGGTATGATTTTTTTTGTATCAAATATTGTTTCAGAGGTTAATGTAAAACTTTCTTTTATCACCAATGCTCAGGTGGCGGAGTTGGTCAAAGTCGAGAAAGTGTTGAAGCAGCCATAGCAGATATCAAACAAGCAATTAGGAGAACTAAAAATTTGCCTGTTAAATCTCATCCCCAAGACAGGTCACCAATTAACGACAAGGCCCCCGTGTGGATACCACGGTAAGTACTACTTCTCACTTGTTCCAGTAGAGTTGGAAGACAGGAATTGTGTTGGTTAGAATGTGATATCGTAGAATTCCAAAACTATATAATTTTTTGTTTGAAAAGTCGTCCAGATGTGTTAGTTTGTAAATTCTTAACACATGAATACAACAACATATTGGTCGACTGTCAGTGTCTTACGCTAGGGCACTAGACCACATATGGCTTGAACATCATACTTCATTATAACATTTTATGGATCATCTGATGTAAGAGCAACAAGAAGCAAGCATTTAGTGCAAACTCAAGAAAATAAGAAGGAACAAACAATGAACAGAATCATTGTTATCTAAACAGGATTTGGCCAAAACAAGACTTTCCCTATTATGTGAGAGTGTCAGAAGGGCATAAGGTATGGGGGCGTGGTCCTACCAATATTACACTCATTAGAACTTACCCTGAAAACATCAAGTAGTTGTTTGATGATGTTGTGCAAAGCTTAGGCTAATATATGGACTTTGTAGTATTATGTGGAACTAAAATTACAAATGTGACTGTCAGAATGTATAATTACTGTATGCTGTTCTTGTGGTAATAATAGTATAGTGAACAAAACAGCCATGTAAATGTGGGGGCTAGCTGCCACCATTTGTAAGAGCGGGGGCTGCTATTACTTACTGCTGAGCCACCGAGGCCACCAATTGTTAGAGCGCGCACCACAAGCTGCCACCCTGTAAGGGCTTGGCACTCTTACAACAACTTAAGTAATACTCTGACCTGGTAGCGTGACCTGAGAGGAAGGCCCATGGGTCCATGTAATTATAGTATCGAGTATTAGGGAAAGAACAACGGTGAATACTATAGGTGAATCATAGACCCACATACAAATACACTGTTTATTAAACACAAAAATGGTTACAGAAAAGACGTTGTATGCACCCAAAATAAGAACTCCTGGTACCATGCCCTCAGGCTCAATTTACTTGCACCACTACTGGGTGTGCACACACCAAAACACACATAAACTCTCACAGCATCTTAGTACCAATAAAACCAGTGGCACCTGCCAGTACAACACTCAATACCCTAGGGGCAATACTCCAGCCGCCGCCATGGGAGTCTCATCACCAAGTGACACCTTCCAACAAACTCCGATAATTCCGGTGGACTAACACCACCACACAAATAGCCCTACTGAGCTATGTACTGTACTCATCCACCAATGATGGGACTGGCAGTTGTTTGTGGGCTTGACGATCCGGGTTCACCATGGGGGCATGGCGTCAGGGGAATACTGGCCCGCTATGGGGCCCATAGGTGGTAGGAGCTTCTGACGGTCGGGGTTCACGGGGACACCCGACTCCACTGGACCTCTGAAATCTCCCCAGACTAGTGGATGCGTCTTCCACGCTACAGACACGGCCTAGGCTGCGTTAGGGACCTGTGGGAGGGAAGCATGGCGGCTCACTGACGGTTTATAACGAACCTCAATGTTTCAAAGGGACATACATTAAGGACATAGAATACTTCACTCAAAGCACATTAACTACGTTACTTTAACACTTGCACAATCAAACTATTAATTAGGTCAAATCACTTAAAAATGGCGAATTACAACACAGAGAAGGTAGAATGACCTACCTGTGGGTGGAGGAGCGTGGCGCTTACTGGTTTGAAAATGAACCGCCGCCCACGCTAAAGTCACGGATTCCACCTACTCGACCATTTCACTGAATTATTTTACTGTAACACTCTGACGTTTGAAACTGAGATTACGAACTCAGTTTCATTCCCTACTATTATCTTCACAAACAATGCTCTGACTGAGCATTAAATTGATTACAAAAGGTTGGATGGCAACAGGGCCCAACACGCAACGCCTTGCTACAACACCCGAGGAGCAGATTCAAAAAGGTTCCCTTCAGAATATCTACTAATTTCTCAGTTAACCTCCCTATCACAATTTCACTACGATTATCAGAGTTTCTGATATTCATAGGTGAAAAAAAAGGTTTACAGGTCTCGGTAGATGCAAAAGAGTTTACAACTCTGTCAACAAACATACGACATCTTGATGACGTCATCAAAGAAACAGAGAGAACGGAGGACATTTCCACTGGGAGACTCAGAAGGTTTTGTGGACGTGTAAGCGTAATATGGATCATTAGTTTAACAGGGTAGCCGTCATTACGATCATGACAGCCATATCTGAAAAACTTGCAGGTGAATTTCTTAGAAATGTCTCTGGGATGAAGGCCATTGATAGCTAAGTGTGAAGCATGGAAATACTGAACTGAAGTTTTAATTTTTTTATTTACTTTTATACATTATTTGGGTGTTTCTTGCTGACTTAGAGAGTTGCTGGCTTATTATTTTATTAAGTGAAAATTGAATTTTTTTCCCAAGAGGAATCATTAGTTATGTTGATGAACTAAGCAATGGAAAGATTCATAAGGGTATTTTATATATAAGGGTGACAATTGGTGAAATGAAGCAATTAAGGTAACTTTGTTGTTGCTGTAAGTAAACAGTATTAACAGGAAAGCAGGGATGGTAAAACAACAACAAATACCAGATATTATAATAGAGGAAGATTTCTGAGTGGACAAAGGGACCATAGATGCAGTGGAGAACAAGTAGCAAATTAGATGGGTCAGGGAGGGAGAGTTGGTGTACTGTGTTATAATGGAATTTGAAGGTCAGCTACACATGTGTCTATGTAGTATCTTCATGATCTTGTTTGTCTTCTCGGGGACGGATCCAGGATTCTTGGGGGGGGGGGGGTTGTCCCGGGTCGATTGTCCAGGTGGTTAAGGTAACATGGCTTAATGTAGAGAAGTTTGGGAAACTTTAAAAAAAAAAATTCTTTAAAATATATTAAAGTAATATTTGCATACAATCGTTATTATTTTATTAATAAAAAACTATATTAGATTGTGAGAAAAATCGCATGTACTACAGGAATGCCATGACAGCAGAAGTAAAGCAAGGTTTATTTCTTACAATCGTACTTGTAATTCAGTTTAAACCCTGTGTTGTACAGTACAGTATATTTACATGTTTACAATTAATGTTAACTCCCCTTTATACCATATGTGAGACTATTTCTGGTTAGAATGATGGCTAAGAAATACTGGTAAAACATTATTGACACACAGAACGTATCTCTTAGTTTCTTCTGAATAAACCGTCTTGCAACTTTGATGTTATAATGGCTGCTGACTATCTTGGTCCATGTGTCCTGGGCAGAATTTCGGATAAAGGGTTGTCAACCTGTAATACAGTAGTGATAGTGACAGTGAGGATATGGACTTTGAGGGGTTTGTCTGGGAGGCCCTGCAAACCTCTGCGAGTAGTGAAAGTGATTCACCGGACGGGAACTAATCTGCCCTCTGCCTCGGAACCAGCCGCCATCCACGTGTGCCGACCCATCTTTTCTACTAACATAAGTGTTACAAAACCTAATATTATTGATATTTCTCTTAAATATAAATTGTGTGTGCATATCATCGTAAAATTTAGATGTTATTTTTTACTACAAGGTAGGTATTGGGGGTCGGCCCAGTCTCTATTTCAATTAATCCCACATGTTCTGTTATTTCGTTTATGCGTTTCTCGTTTTACGCGGGCCTCCGCAGGTTCAATTGACAGCGTAAATGCAGACTATACTGTACATCTTTTTCCTCTTTATGTTAAATTTATTAAACTTTTTACCAGAGGAGGAGATAAAATGGTGTGTGTGTGTGTGTGTGTGTGTGTGTGTGTGTGTGTGTGTGTGTGTGTGCATTTTTTTTTTTTTTATATCTACCCCTCACTGTCTGTTCCTCGTGATGGATAAAGTGCTGTATCGATAACCGTTAAGTAAAAATTATCCTTGATAAAATAAAATGAGTGTGTGTTATGTTGTGTTGTGTTGTTATAAATATGTGAAAATAAAACCTGACAGTTTGTACAAGACCCGCTGAAAGTTGTTGATGTTATAAGACTGTGGGGGGGGGGGGGGGTCCCTTTCTTGTAGGGTGATTTCTGGGTTATTGTATTCACTCATACCAAGCGTTGATCTTGCTTTTTAATGAGCTTTACTAAATATTGAATATCCATATTAAATTTTTTTCGATCTCGTTGAAGAGATTTCAAGCAGTGTTTTGATGGAGTTTTATCGGGGATGAGAAGCCAATCTTGGTTGTCTTTTGTTTCCACATACATTTTAGTGGAGAATTTTGTCCAATACTCATAAAACTTATTGACATTTTTTAATGTGGTGCTGCTTCCTCCGAAGCTTGGTGGTGGCAGGTTATCGGTGTTTTCTTTGCTTTTCATCTCCCACTTAGAAATCTCTTGGAAGAGTTTTCGGAAAACTGTATGAAACCCGGTGTCGGAGTCTGGGGGGCCGGAGTAAGACTTACTTGAACAGTGAACCCATAAGTTCACAGTTCCCTGGGATTCGCATTGGGAAGTGGGCGTTTCTTTTTATATCTTCTCCAATTTCTGGGATTTCTTCTTCTCCTGTTTCTGGGATTTCTTCTTCCCCCAGTTCTGGGGTTTCTTCGTCTCCCAGTTCTGGGGTTTCTTCGTCTCCCAGTTCTGGGGTTTCTTCGTCTCCCAGTTCTGGGGTTTCTTCTGTTCTGGGATTTCTTCTTTTCCCAGTTCTGGGATTTCTTCTCCTCCCAGTTCTGGGATTTCTTCTCCTCGTTCTTCTGAGAGTACTTCTCCTCGCTCTTCTGAGAGTAGTACTTCTCCTCGCTCGTCGGAGAGTTGTTCTCCTCGCACGTCTGAGAACTATTTTGGCCACACTGAACTTCGTTCAGAGCGACATACGCAGCCTGTATCCTTTGGAATGTCTTGGTGGCTTCACGGTCGTCAGGGTTCTTGTCTGGATGGCATCGCCGTGCCAGATGAAGGTAGGCCTGCCGGATCTCCGTTGGGGTAGCGTTGCTGGTAACATCTAATACTTGCCGATGGGAAGTCATTTTGAAACAATATTGTCAAGTTGCAGTACTGCGAATAGGAGGTCAATTT